TGCTTCCAAATTTATTAAATTCTTTATCAAGAACAATACGATTGATTATTTCTTTTCATTTCTTCATGGATTTCTTTAATTGTATTGTAACCTGTCTAATTCATTATTCACCAAAAACCTTTTATTTGCTATCTCAAAAAATAAGAAAGAAAGATTATATAATAAAATACATTATATTGTATGAATTTACCACCTTGATATCATAATAGTTTCTCGCCTCAGCGGTAACATCATCAATCTTGCGTACACAGTGAGATGCTTGCTTGCATTATGCTGCAACAATATGTAACAGAAGGAACGGTAACCATCCTTCCCGTTTTGAAAGTTCCCAGCTTAACTTTAATCCTGACTAACGTAATTGCCAAAGTTTGAATACGAAACGTTGTTCACGGAACACGCGATTTACTGTCAGACATTTTGTAATTGATGTAGCGGCTTTGCGACTTTCCACTTGGCGGCATCCGAGGAAGATGTCTGCGGTATCAGTGAACATTACAAAACAATCAATGAAATACGTAATCTACATTGTTCCACATCTTACCGCTCATGGGTTGGCGGAAGCATTAAACTTGCTAATGTTCCGACATCAGGTTACCCAAAACTTGACAAATGCAAGATACCCTAACCTAAATTTACCAGTTACCAGTTGCATTTTTAGGTAAATATTTATTGTGCAATGCCAGATAACAACTTTGTTCTGGTCCGTACTAATAGAAGTGCCGACTTTATGTGTGCCAATTGTTCGAATATCTTAACTAGGATTTTAAACTGCGTGTTTTTTGTTCGTTCAAGTAAAATAGTATTCTCACCGTTAAATTAAAATAATTTGGTATTCTCTCCCTCTCACAAATATTGTTGGATCAGTTTTTTTAGTACCCACCACGCTTGCGATACAAACAACATCATTCGCGCCGTCGCGTTGCCTACCCTGACCTTATGTCCTACCCCGTGGAGCCCTGGAACCTTACTTACTGACAGAAATACGACTCTACCAAAGATAGTGTTATTTTACAGTGGTCTTATGTAAATTGGAGGATTCTTCCCCAAACGGTCAAATATCACTATGCCCTACCTCTCTTTAATTCCAAGCATACCTGTTCATCTATAGATATCTCATCATGCTAGGACAGATTTAGTATCCGAAGGACTGGGCAAGATGTTACTATTACTGATAAAAAAAACATCTTGATATAATTTAGTAAAGTTTTAGAAAATCAAGAATTCTGAAACACCCTCCCTCGTTAACATTTACATCTACCACATACGCAACTTTATGCGAATCCACCTACCTATTCGGAATTCCGCACGGTTTTTACAAATTGTCTGCACATCGGGGCCCGGTTGCAAAAACGACTAGGCCGATTGAATTCCCGAAACGCCCGCTTCTGCGGCATCATAATTTTTTATCGGCAATCCCTCGAGTGCATTTACCCCTGGGTGTCTACTCTCTATGCATGGAATTCATTTTTTCGATCAGTGTGGTGTGTTTCCTGTTACAATGGTGTAACGGCCATCCATTTGCGGATGGCATCCACTTTACAATCAATATCATTCGAATTCTGTTCTATATAACTCGTTCGGAAAAGTTATTCCAAAAACGCTTTTTCTAATTAAGGATTCGAAAAAACATTCTGGATCAACTGGAAAGCTAAATATTGTTGCTTGAACAAATATTGGGAATAGGTCCCCTGAAACAACCACGTACGCTGCCAAAAATGGCTCCAGTTATTTCATGGATGATAAACCGAGGGAAAGTTTCGCTAATTTTTGGACGGGCGATTGGTGATTGATTGGTCAAGTTGAAATTCGTTATTAGGTCGAATTGAAACTGACCGAAATTCGAAATGGACTGGTTGGTGTTACCAATTTTTATTTTATAAAAAGAATAACTTTTAGACAAATTGCCACATGCGTCGCGTATAACAATTTTATTCTTTTATTTGTCCTTGCGTCGTCATTACGATTTTTACGGCTGAGTGATTGAGTACTTTTTAAATGGACAGCAAAGGTTTTCTAAACTTAATTATTTCTGCGCTAACTTGACTGGAAGTTCTATGTCGTCACTCTAAAACTTTTCTATTTATAATTTTTTTGTATTTATTTGGATCACCATAAGTTACTACGTAAACACTTGTTTAATAATTCATTTGTTCAAATGACACTTTCAATTTACTTTTCCATTAAGTACCTAAATTAGTATTAGGTTCAACACGTAACTATCTATTAACAAATATGTATTGCTCTCTAAACCCACCCTACATTATAAACAGCAATATGCAAAAGTCACATAAACTTGGCAACTTTAGCAATGAAATAAAATTTTATTATGGGCTATCTTCGGCCAGCGGCAATTATCCGTTGTTCGGTTATGGGCAAATTTTGGGCCACTTTAACGGACTATACTGATTTATGACCGATTTTGGGTATCCATTTCATTGGTCAAAGTTTGTTAACTGCGAAACGAACAATGAGTATTTTTACAATATAAGGGATGTTTAATGGGCATACATTGCTTTCATTATAATTTTGTGATTAACCAAAACCAAACTTGCAACTCTAAAATTATGCTGAGATAGCTCTTTCTGTTTATCTGGGGCAATGCAAATTAAATCTTAAGTTTCATTTCTCAGCTAAGCTTACAGGATTCTTTATTAGAAGTAAAAAAATGGACGGTCTAATGTATATAAATCGATTCACTTAAAATATCAGGCCGTTACAGAGGCACTTATGAAAAATTTTATTAATTTTTTATTCCATTGCAGTAGGTAAAATTTTCTCTCAGCTTATGTCAAGTAAGCGCCACTTTAAAGTGACTGAAAGATTTAGACCAGCTGACTGACTAAAGGTTTTGTTGTGGTGTGAAACAGGGTGTAGAGAACTTCTTGCGTTATATAACACAAATCTCTCTTAAGAAACAGATAAAAATATCTTCCAACAAAAACAAAACACTGCAATTTGCAAAAGTGTTACATAAGCCGTACACTTTTTAAGGTAGCAAGAAATCTTTTAAGGAGCACACCTCTGGGATTGACGTATTTGATAAATTACTTTCATTGGTACATTTGTCACGGGGCCATCCATCATACTCGCTTGCTCTACAAGGAGATTCTTATCGCGGATCGAGCCAAATTGATCCGGAATCGTTTTCCTAATCGAATACGTATTATGGTGTCCTGATTCGATAATAATAGGTCGAGTGAGATTTGGCAATTTCGACATTTGAAAATTTTACTGAAATAGGTGATTATAGGTATTTTGGAGTCTTTACCTGAATTTATATTATTAGGATCTTTAAAATTAACCTTTGATTATTTTGAGTTATTTGTTACAGTACTTCCTACCTTCCTTTCCTCGATTACTTATTACGATTTAGAAAACAAAGGTGTCAAATTCTTAGAACTGCTGATGATGGAAAAGTTACTGGAGGAGAAATCTATCAGATAATTGAAATAGCTTCTCGATTAGAGAACATCCAGGAAATCGTTAGTACGGCCAAAACAGTCACTTTGTAGAATTGATAACAATTAATGTGAGAAAGCTTTCTTAGAGAAAGGTAGATGAATTGTCATGTAGGCGATTCTGTGACAAAGAAAATTCTGAGAAAAGAAAAATTACTGGCCAGCCCAATTAAAGAAAATATAACAAATTTTATCTTTTCTATATTTTCCATTGACTTCAAAATCAAAAACATTATTATAGATTTGTAATTTTATTTATTTTACTACAATTAGTTTTTCTACATAATTTTTTTATCATGTTGGATCACACACTTAATACCCTGACTAGTATTTAAAAGCACATCACACTTCATCTGATATTTTATTCAACGAACATTAACTACGCCAGCTTTACACAAATTTCTTATTTGAATTATCTAAAATAACCCTTTTTTACGTCAAAATTTCATTCAGATATCATTTTTTTTTTATTATGTCTATCAGAGGTGAAAAAATTTATCATAAACTGGAATAACAAAATTACATTGCGCGTTTGAGTAGATCCCTGGATGATTTAATTAGACTTACAAATAGACCCAAAAAGTGGCACAGCAGTCGGATTCTTGGATTTTTTAAATATTTTTTGGGGCACGACAACATCCCTTGGCTTTGGTAATATAATTAAATCCAGCTAAATACAAATTATGAAAAGAATATAAGAATATATTTTTTTTTAATTTATTTGTGTTTTCTTGTATGGTGTATTACAATAAAGAATATTATTATTATTATTATAAGATACGCTCTGGAGCGAACATTTAACTTATAGGGTTTGAAATTGAGAATGAGGGTTGGCATAGAAAACCGATATATCTCCATCATCTAGTAGACGAAGTTTAGTACCATAAATATGCCAAGGTAACTCTGTTTGTCTATATGTCAACTTTGGCGATCAAACCGCTCAACTTGTATTAATGAATTTTGTCTATAGACAAAGACGACCTTGGTAATGTAGACTTTTTGTCTTGAAAATAAATCTTTAAAAGTGATATTTGTTTCTTAGGTTTTCACGCACATCACTCAACACAATTTTAAAAATCTTCCAATGAAATAACCGAACGCTCAATATAAGTCTTTCGAATGTAGCTTGACAATTTTGAATAAAAAATCATTATTCTGACGATGCAGACCTGAAAAGGCTGCGAAACGTCAATAAATAAATAAAGTTTCGTGCATTAACCCGTAAAAACTAGTTTTATTCTTTAAAAGTGAGTAAAAAAAGTATATTAAATTAAACCTAATTACTGCTAAAGATTGTGAAATTATTATTCTTATCTGAAAACACTTTTTGCGAGCTGGATGTCTCTAATATTGCTAAAAGTAACACTTTTATTATTAATCGCTTTTTTGTTTTACACATAATTATATTTCTTATTAGCTATATGTTGCTGCTCATCTAAAGACTACATTTAAAGCTACCGAAAGAAATCTTGAGATAGTTGCCTATTTTTTCGCCGTTTAACTATGAAGCTTTGCTTTTCCTGGTTCTAAATAGTTTCTTCATTATGTTGGTACCTCACTGACGAATGGAGTTGCTCCAGTCCAAGTAATCTTAGCATCTTGCCACCTATAATCAGAACAAAGGTTGATTATTGAAACGTTGACTGAAGATGTTTTTTAAGTTGTCAGCGCGTTATTATTTTTCAAGTGATAAGCGTGTTCGGCTGCGTTCTTGCAGTTGTCAGTCATTGGATGGATGACCAAATATTTAGTAGTGGAAGGCCAGTTAAGCCGTTGGCCTCGACTGCATCTGCAGTCTTTAGCACCCACCAATCCAATGGGCCCTTGTGGTGGATCATGGCTCAATCTCCCTATACCATCCATAAGAAAGGCCTGTGCCATAAATAGGTAATTATTATGACTATAATAATAAAAACACATTTCTAGCGCTTGAGTGCTTTTTGATAAAGGACCCCAAAATGTTTTTTGCCATATCATCATTTAATATTTTTGCCACAACAGCAATATTCGCAACTGCACTTCTCCCATACTCAACATCATGTAGTTCAGAGTTCACGAGGAGCTGGATGGCGCAATTATTTAGCGCGTTCGGCTGCAATCGTTGAAGTTAAACAACTTTTGCAGTGGACCGACCATTGGATGGGTGACCAAAAATTTACAATCTCTAGCTCCTCCGTGCTTCAAAGGTACGTTAAGGCGTAGGTCCCGGCTGCATCTGTAGTTTTTAGCATCCACCAATCCACACTGGGTCCGCGTGGTGGGTCATGGCCCAATCTCCTTATTCCATCCGCAGGAAAGGTGCTCCGGCAGTTTGGCTATTAGTTAGTTAGTTAGTTTTTCAGGGCGGTTTCCGCACTTAGTCCTAATCATTGCACCATTGTGCGCGTCTTGAAACATTCCCGTTTACTCCAGCCAGCCTAGGTTAGTCCAGAAGGAAAGCAGTCTTGACAGTTTGGCTATTAATAGACTGATGATAATGATGAGTTCAGACTACTTTATTTTCCTATAATAAAAATGGCATACTTAGTATGAATGAGTTTTTCCAGCGGAGTGGCGCTTATATCGTCGTTTCTCAGAGTTCCAGCCTCGTCGTGGGCTCGCGTGTCTACGTTCAGTAAGACATTGCACCCGCCACAAGTGTAATACTGTATATCAAATCTGGAATCGAACAATGTATCATCACAATAATCATTGGTTATTATTAGACATTATGGGTTACCTACAATGCGAAGAGATGGCGCTGCCTTGCAGCTTAAGGCTAGGAAAATTTCGTCATTCAAATCATTTTTAATGGCTATGGGTGTAGTAACATTCAGCCAAAGACTGATCGAAGTTGTTTATATAACATATAAAACATTTTTTTTTATTACACTGTGGTATTAATAGCCACAACTATATTATCATTTTCACTACATGCAAATGTGCTAAGACAATGGTAGGCGACATCATAAAGTCTATTGCCATACATTTTTCGCCAAACACCTCCATAAACACATTATAAGGTGTGATACACTACAAATCTAAAATATGGTTATAATGTAAACATAACAAAAATAATGAAGCTACTGTAGATATGGCTGTATAACCTAAATCTCTTAGCTTTCTTTGGTTAACGAGAGTTTAAAAAATCACACAGTTCCTGTCACAGAGTACCTTCCTTATTAAAACCGGAAATGCACAGTTATTACCTGATTTTAAAAGTAATTCTTGTGCATTAACTTTAAAAACAGGCAACTATCTAACTATTAATCTACATGCTCTATATACCTGAATCTAATACATAATTTCGGTACTTGGCTTGATTCCCCTAGTTTACTATATAACTTATTTGTTTTTTATTATTTTAATACCTGTACCTATTTGCAAACATAACCTCAAAATCGTTCAGTGTATATGGTTTATAAAAGTTCTCAGGGGTGTCCGTCAATAATATTCGTTTCTACAGTAATTTATATATAATTTCGAATCTAGGAAACAACTTTTCATGATTATTGGTCTTTAGTGTAAAGTTTAGTATCTCGAGCTCCTCCATGCTTCAGAAGGCACGTTAAGGCCCGGCTGCATCTGCAGTCTTTAGCAGCCCCCAATCCACCCTGAGCTGAAGAAAATTTACATCCCAATCATACAATCCCTTTGATGGTATAACTTAGATGGTAGCATTAGTATTATTATTTAGTGGTACCTTCTTTCAGCGTGATAATTCCGCAATAGTTCTCTATTTGTATTGAAAAGTACGCCGTAATGCCCAGAGCAGCTAGTCACCTGAAAAAAAAATATGTTTTTTTTAATTATAGTAGCTCATTACGATACTGTAATGCTGTTCCTAAAAGGATTAAACTTAAATTAAAACAAAAAGGGTAGATACGGCGCTAGCCTCACAAAAGTGATCCGCACAAATTGTGATCCACGACCCTAATCGATTTAGTCACAACTTGACATGCCAACCGACGTACATGTGAACGCCAAAAAGAAATATTGCTAATATTTTGTCTTTATATGATAAAAAACAATGCCTAAGTGTATTTTTAAAAAGTGCTAAAATTGCTCAAGTACTAAAAATAAAACCCACGGCATCACTTTTCATTCGTAAGTACTATAAAATATATTTTTTCATAAAAATTGCTGTTTGTTTGAATCTTATTCGGTAGTGACGTCGAGTACTGGTCGCGTGATTGGTTGGTAGTGCAGTGACGCGGATCTCGCCGTCTCGTTCGCGCTGCCGTTGAAACTTAACGTGCTGTTTCGCTCGGGTCGGTAATGCAGTGACGCGGATCTCGCCGTCCCGTTCGCGCTGCCGTGGGATCAGTTTTTGTTTGATGCAAGTATGAGCGTACCGTATCTACCCTTTTTGTTTTAATCTAAGGGGATAAATCTGGGGACGTAGCTAGTAGAATGTAGCAATTATTAAAATAAGAACACTTAGAATACTGAACTTCTTTTTATTTAAACTGAGAGATATTAGATATGGTATCACACAGCGCTACACAAAGGAAATGTTATTGTACTGCAGTCTTCTGTTAAGTGGTTAAAAAAGTTCATTTCAAAAGTACCTACCCATATCGGCAAGGCTGGTGTCTTCAGCCTGGATCCAGGGTACTGTTTGTTCAAGTTGTGTTTTCCGTTCTCTTCGCCTCCATACCAGACCAGCAAGCCCACAGGACTTCGCGACAGTATTCCGAATTGTGGCATCGCCTAGGAAATTTTCTGTATGGTTAAGTTGTTTTTGCGTAATTGAATAACAAACTTATAAACTTTTATATCTATACTATTATATAAAGAGAGGAAAGAATACACTAACAGATTGACTCATCAACGCACAGCCGAAACAAATGCAGAAATTTGGACAACAGATTCCTATTATTGTCTAATATATATCAATAATAAATAATAAGATAGGATTTTTTTAAATTCACCCTTAAGCGGAAAATTTGCAAAAACCGTTTGTTCCTTAAATCTTATCCCTTGGACATATTAACCGAAAATTTGGCATGAACATTATGAATTAGATATACACTAAACCTGTTACATAAAATTTTTACAACTACCCTCAAAAAAATAAAAAAAATCGTGTCAAAGTTTGCATGGGAAATCATCGAAAAGTGCATAGGATTGATTAAAATTTTGCACTCCCACTCTGTATAAAATAAAAATGACATTTGTGTTTTAATTTTTCAAAACTACCCTCATAAAACAAAAATATAGCATGTTGAAGTTTTAAATAGTGCGTCAACGCACGCCTACACTTTTGGTCTTAGAGACATGATGTATAGTTAATGTATCGGGGACTCGCTAAAAACAAAGGTGCATGGTAGCAATCCCGTTAATTAAATAAATTAATATAATGTTAGTGTCTATGAAAGTTTAAAATAATAAATCTATCCATAATTATATAATGTAAAAGTGTCTCTGTCTATCTTTCTGTTTGTTACCTTACCACAACCACTAAAATGATTAAGATGCATTTTGGTTGTATACATCTATGTTATATACTAACGTAGTATGAGCGTACCGTGTCTACTCTTTTTGTTTTAATCTAAAATTACAGCAAATTTACTGAATATATTTTATAGTAACTTGCTATCCTTATTTCTCGTCGTAGAGATCTTTATTTAAGCCAAGTTTCAAAGCTGTTACATTTCTTGCTTGATGCTTACGTCATTTAAACAACCTATTAGTACAGTTGCAAGCGACCACGGAGGAGGACAATCACGGAAAGAAAGGATCACGGATTAACTGAAGTAATAGGGTATTTGACAGTGTTAAAAATAAAGTGCCAATGGTTATCAGCTGTGTTTAGAATGAATACTGGCAGGGGTTCTGACTATTTTTACAAAAAAATATCCATAATTTTACTAAAAACTAACGAAAAAGATCTTATCTATTGTCACGTGACCCAAAACGCTTGGGATTCGCGGAGCCTAAAATGACGTCACACGCAAGTAAACTTCCGGTTAACGTGACATTACATTGTATCGTTTGACGTTTTCATAACAGTCGTGTGATGTCATACACTAGTAAAAGTGTGCGCGGCAACTTGAAAATGGAGTTTTTGATTTGGTTATTTTTTACTGAAATACACAACAGAATGATGAATATCCACTTTTTACGGACTCCATAAACATTAGTCAATGACGGGACATCGTTTTCAAAAACTTGTCAAATACCCTATTGCGGGTAAGATGTTATTGGCAGGCATATCGGTCTACTTTACAACGCAGTCTTTTAATGCGTCTAGCTCTCTCGCTAAAAACAAAACTATATGGTAGCACAATCCCGTATCCCCAATTACATAAATTACTTTAATATGGAGAAATTCCTTACATAATGATCTTCATCACCAACGTACAATACTCCATTGTGCAGATACGGTGTAGCTCGGCCGGTCAGCAGTAAAGTGCAAACGTTGAGGGAGCCCTCAACATGAGCTGACACAAGATGCGTCAGTTTTCCATCTAGATCTTTCTTAACACTGTAATCATCATAATAATTAATTTAACTGCTCTATTTATAAATATAAAGGCATTTTTTACTAGAAAAAATCAAGTCGATCCCGGTTTAAAAAACCCGATTTCGAACCCGCGATACCTTCCACAATCAAGGCAAGTGTGCGGGTTCGAATTCTGTCTGTAACCAGGACCGATTAGATTTTTTCTAGTAAAAAATTGGTAAAGGATTTTTTTACTAGAAAAAATCAACTCAATCCTGGTTTGAAAATGAATTCGAACCTGCGACACCTAACACTATCCGGGCAGAAGTGCGGGTTCGAATTCTGTCTGTATTTTTTCTAGTAAAAATTTGGTAAAGGATTTTTTACTAGAAAAAATCAACTCGATCCCGGATTTTAAAATTAATTCTAACCCGCGACACCTACCACTATCCAGGCAAAAGTGCGGGTTCCAATTCTGTCTGTAATTTTTCTAGCAAAAATTTGGTAAAGGATTTTTTCACTAGAATAAATCAACTTGGCCAAGATATGAACGTCAGTTATTGTGAGTTGTAATAATTTTATCTGTGCCTTTGAAATTGCCATTGTTAATTTTCTTAAAACCCCATTCGAATCTAATATTTACCGAGATTAAAAATCGCGCCACATATAGTTAAGTACATATGTATCAATCCAAGTGTTAAACTACGTTTGAGAGAAATTCTATTATTCTAAAAAAAAACATTCCCTTTTCCTAGTAATTCGAAAACATTATTTATATTACTGATCTTGGTCTTACAAAATAATAAGAAAGAATATTTAAATAAGCATTCTTCGAGTGATTTTTAATAGCTTTGCCATATGTCTTGGAATATGTTATATTAGATTTATTCGTCGACCACACGACGGTTATGTATGGCCCGAGGCAAATATATTAACGAGAAAAGGGAAAGGTTTAAGAGTTATTATTATAACATTTTCGGTTACAATATTACATTCCTTGGTATGTTTCGATGTATTTTTACGTCACTTTTCTTAGATATAATAAAAACAAAATTAATTTGAAATTGCAAGACTTACTCGTATCTTGCGTTGACTTGACAAGTATCAGTACCTCAAGCACGAACCAATATCGAATTCGAATAGGTTGCGAGTACGAAATGTCATTGTCTTTTGTATGGAACAGCAGTGCTATAACAGACGTAACGAGCAATAGTAATCAGTACCCCTAGCACGAACAAACCGAAATATCAATGTCAAATTTTGTATGGAAACTTGATCAGCAGCGGCACAAATTACGTAAAGAGAACTAAAAATCAGTACACATTTGACAATGACATTTCGCAATCACAAACTATTCGAATTCGATAATGGTTCGTGCTAAGGGTACTAGGTTAGTAATAATCAAAGAACAGACTTCTCTTTTTAATAATATTAAAAGAGTGGCAAACAAGCTTACTATGGGCCTCCTGATGGTAAGCGGCACCATAGCCTATAGACGCTACCCCACCCCCCAATGCCCTACCCCGTGGAGTCCTTTTTTTGTAACGCAGGCAAAACCTCTGTTTACAGACGACGGCGCTTTTAAGAGGCACACCGCCGAACGGAACTCACACCTGACTCCCGCAATCGTCACGGTCACGATGGGGCTAAACCCCAAAGTAAGCCGCGCCATTTACGAGCACGCTTAACTGCATACTATGCACTAAAAAACTCTGCGACACGATGGGGCTAACCCCCAAAGTAACCAGCGCCATTTGCGAACACGCTTAACTGCATACTATGCGCTAAAAAAACCTGCGAATACCCTCTAAGCTGCTTAGTGCAAAGCCGCGGGATCCCCGTTTAGGGATTCTTCCGCGTTACCCCGTGGAGCCCTGGAACTTTACTCACCGACAGAAACTCAACACCAACAAAAGGTAGTCTTATTATACTGTGATCTTCCGCAAGGTGGAGGTTACTACCCCAGGCGGGCGCTCCAATGTGAAAGGGGAATCTGCTATGCCCCAACTCTCTATTATGGATGCCATTGAAAAAACATTGGACAATTCTCACTCCCGGGGACGTATGGAATAGCGTCACCCCGGGACTAGGTCTGATAAATCAATGAAACAAACGAAAAACATATGCCACATATATCAGACCAATGTAAGTAATAAAGTGTATAAAACAGAATAATAAACATAAAATTAAAAAAAATACTCACTTTTCGCATCCTCTTGAAAGTATAGCAGCGTAAAGTAACAATAGTGCACCAGAACCATCCTCGGTTTGAAACTGAAAGATTTACACTTATCTGTAGGTTTCAGAAGATCTAAATAAATATCGACAATTTTATGTGGAGTCATAAGAGGAGCTTGACGGTGCAGGTGGTTAGCGCATTCGGCTGCAATCGTTTGAAGTTAAACAAGTTTTAGCACTGCTAAAACTCGGTCATTAGATGGGTGACCAAAAATCTTCAATCTCGAGTTCCTCCGTGCTTCGGAAGGCACGTTAAGTCGTTGGTCTCGGCTGTATCTGCAGTCTTTAGCACCTACCAATCCGCAATGGGCCCGCGTGGCGGGTCATGGCCCAATCTCCCTATTCCATCCATAAAGAAGGCCTGTGTCCCAACAGTGGAGCTATTAATAAGCTGGTGATGTGATGTGATGATGATATGTGGAGTAACACCGACCGACACGACATTTGTATGAGAAATCAAAATAATGTTATTGCATTTAAATTTTGTGTTTCACGCATTCCACAGAAAACTGACAAAACGCAACTAAAAAGTCTCAGTAGTTCGGTCTACCTGACTAACAACCTAAATTCTGCTACTAGAGGAATAGATAATGTTGTCACAAACGCTCTCGAACTGCGCGCTCTGTGAACTGTGTGGTGAATAAAGAACTGTCAAGCGTGAATATAATTTCGAATCCCATCCCGACAGCAACAATATGTTTTATTAAATTAAGTGACATCCATTTATGTAAATAGCCTCTATAGCTAAAGAAAATATTACTAGAAAAAATTCCACGCGGACCAAGCAGCAGACGGGACTCGAACCGCGCCCTTCGCTATCCGGGCGAATGCACTGACCATTATGCTACCGCTGCCCTGATGGTCGTGTTGAATTCGATTTTTTTCTAGTTATCTTTAGATTTGAAACATCGAGCAATTACACATGGTTAAAAAATAAAAATTATAGCCTCTACAACTATTTATTTTCATCACGCAAACATCTAAGCCCTATAGCCATGTGATAAATTAGGGTAGAAAAATACACATTAAACATCCATGACTGGAGTACAAATGCTCGCATTCATTACACAAACAACTGTCCCCACCGGGATTCGAACCCCGGACTTCTCTTGTAGGCGACACATTGAAACCACTGGCAGGAAGGTCTAAAAGTCTCAAGTAACACATGAATATATTTTTGATTATATGTGTAATTAGCTTACTCAATGAAGCACTGTTGTCGCTGGGTGTCACAGTCCAACAGTGCTTAAATCGATATTGACACATTGTAAATTTCCAATTTCATAATTCTTTAGAGTCGCATTCATTACACAAACAACTGTCCCCACCGGGACTCGAACCCCGTACCTCTCTAATAGGCGACACATAGAAACCACTGGCACGAAGGTCTAAAAGTCTCAAGTAACACATGAATATATTTTTGATTATATGTGTAACTAGTGGCCCGCCCTCGCTTCCCTTCGGTGTAGAGCTGTAGTGTAAACTATAGTTTTTGTTCTCAGGCTTGTGCTATAAACAATGACTTTATTTTTATAATTACACGTGTTATTGTGAGTCAACCATAAAAGATAGACATATGCTGTTGCGGGATATTTTTTAGACAATTTTATGTAGAATATTTCCGTCATACATGATTTCTATGTAACTTTAACCATTAAGGATGCACACGCGACGGAAGCTTAAAAAATGGAGTAACTTCTCCCGTTTTCCCAACATTTCATTTCACTACTCTGCTGCTATTGATTGTAGCGTGATGAAAAGTATACTATAACCTGCCCAGGAGTATGAAGAATAATTGTACCAAGTTTTGTTAAAAACCGTTGAGTAGTTTTTGTTTCTATAAGGAACATACACACAGACAGACAGACAGACAAAAATTTTACTGATTGCATTTTTGGCATCAGTATCGATCACTAATCACCCCCTGATAGTTATCTTGAAAATATATTTCATGTACAGAATTGACCTCTCTACAGATTTATTATAAGTATAGATTAGCTTACTCAATGACGCACTGTTGTCGCGTGGTGTCGCAGCCCAACAGTGCTTAAATCGATATTGACGCATTGTAAATTTACAATTTAATATTTTTTGGAGTTATCAGGTTACCGATTTTCAGTGTACCCAAACATTGGTTATATCATATCGCAAAATACCTCGTTAGTTTCAATTACTTATCAACTTTAATAAATAAAAATAAATATTTTCAACACTCACACCAATTAGCCTAGCCCCAAGCTAAGCACTATAAGGCTTGTGTTATGGCATACTAGGGTAACGGATAGAATACATATACTGTACATATATAAGTATCTTTATAGAGAAATACAAATTATACATCCATGACTGGAGAACAAATGCTCGTATTCATCACACAAACATCTGCCCCCACCGGGATTCGAACCCGGGACCTCTCGAGTCGGCGACATCATGAAACCCGGCGTACAAACCACGGGTGTTAATGTTTTCTATTTGTTTTAATTAATTTCCTATTCACATCTCACGGTGCTTTTCAGAAGTATTTACAGCTGAACAATTACTGCCTTCATTGGTGTGTGTCTCACAAATAAGCTTCCTTGATTTATGTACCTTTTACAGTAAGGACAACTTTATAGACAAAACATATTTTCATTTCACTCACCAAATATAAATAACGTTTAATGAATATCTGAAGATCCTCCAAGTTTTTCAGTTCAAAGAAATGCAGCTTGAAAGAGGTGAAATAGCAAATTTAATAAACGCCTCAACGAACATTAATCAACTTATACCTAATTAACATAATTAAAGGCGACGAGTATACTTAAGACATTATTTGTACGTTCAAAATCATCAAAACGAATTTACAATTTCAATTCCTCTTTGAATCAGAGTTCGTTTATCCAAATGTAAAATTAGACATAAATTATTTTCCTTTTTAAGGTTAAGGTTTCCAAGGTATCATTAAAAATGAACACGAAATTGCAAAAGATAATTAGAAAACATATAATTAAAAATAAGTCAGTTCTATTAATTGTTTTTCTTTTTTAAAGCTTTTCACGAGCTTTTAATTTGTTCTTGTTATATACAGTCATGTTCAGGCCAAATCTTGGAATGGAATTTTGCATACATTGCATAATTACGCGTTTAATTTTGATGAAAATGTACGATTAATTATGTGACGTCATTCTAAATCCCATATGGCTGACAACCTACAATAATGGAACAGTAACTTTTTGGGAACTGAGAATAACATGTAACGGTTAATTTGCTGAGAAGAATAGGAATAAACTTACATTTGCGTATAATATAATTTTAATCAATAAAAAATCAATAAAGACTTAAAGTAAACAGTTTCTTAAAAAAACCGACGGGTTGCATTCCGGGAGTGCCGGCAGAAGTGAAAACTTGAATATAAACGTTGTGCATTTTTGATATTTTGTAATGGTTTGGGAATAATTTTGCACGAATTGCTTTAATTATCAGTATAAAAGTACTATAATGTATGAATAAAATATTTATTTATAGCGCTATTGAACACAAACATGATAATTGAAAACATGAAAGAAAAATCAACTTACATGAATCACATTTCAGCGCACCTAGCGACATCTATTGTAAAAAAATGCTTTTTCTTCGCACATGGACGTCCTACATAGAGACTTATTATTATAATACGATAAAATAAAATATTACTTTGTTTCGTCCAATATATTGAAAGTCAACAACCCTTCCAATTTTATTGTGTGTCATGATGCGATCAGCCCACGTGTTTAACCTGACTCGAGTTTAACATTTTTTACCCATACAAAAAAAAAGGTGTACAACGCCGCTAAAGAAGTTTTCACTTCAAAAAACTAAAACAAACTATTACATCAAAAATACTGTTCAGCCATAAAGTATGGTAAACAATCAAGCCAATATTCAAAAGACTGATCTATTATCTGCTTTTTCAATTGCATCTCACCTTTTCGGTGATGCCGTCTTGATAGTATTGCGAGCTGTGTTTAACGTAGATGGTCTCGCTAGGTAAAGCCACTATGGCTTTCGGGTCAACTCCCGACTGAGGATTGAAACCTCCGGCGCACCGCCATATTACCTCACTACAGGCATGCCACAAAGCCTCTTCTTGACGTTCTTCCGAAGGCCGTAGGTATCTGGAAAGATATTATAATCATCTACAGATTGGGTATTGAATAGGTTTAAAAACTTAATACTTTATTTTTAATCAGGTATAAATAATAAATAAATATTATATTCCCAACACTCACACCAATTAGCCTAGCCCCAAAGTAAGCACTGTAAGGCTTGTGTTATGGGATACTAGGGTAAACGGATAGAATACATATATAAGTATGTTTATATAGAAATACATATTAAACATCCATGACTGGAGTACAAATGCTAGTATTCATCACGCAAACATCTAAGCACTGTAGCCTTGTGTTATGGGATACTAGGGTAGGTAACAGATTGAATACATTATGCTGATACAAATATAAGTATATTGATAAAAATACAAATTAAACACATCCATGACCTGAGAACATATATGCTCGTATTAAGTACACAAACATCTGCCCCCACCGGGATTCGAACCCCTGACCTCTCGAGTAGGCGACACCTTGAATCACGGCATACAGAGCACTCGGCACAGAGGTCTAAAAGTCTCAAGTAAATTTACAAATGAATATATATAAATATTTCCAACACTTACACCAATTAGCCTAGCCCCAAAGTAAGCACTGTAAGGCTTGTGTTATGGGATACTAGGGTAAACGGATAGAATACATATACAGTACATATATAAGTATGTTTATATAGAAATACATATTAAACATCCATGACTGGAGTACAAATGCTAGTATTCATCACGCAAACATCTAAGCACTGTAGCCTTGTGTTATGGGATACTAGGGTAGGTATCGGATTGAATACATATACTGATACAAATGTAAGTATATTGATAAAAATACAAATTAAACATCCATGACTTGAGAACATGTGCTCGTATTAAGTACACTATCATCTGCCCCCACCGGGATTCGAACCCTCAAGTAGGCGACACCTTGGATCACGGCATACAAAGTACTCGGCGTGGAGATCTAAAAGTCCCAAGAAAATTTACAAATGAATATATTTTTAATTATAATTAGCTTACTCAATTACCGCACTATTGTCGCTGGGTGTCGCAGTCAAACAGTGCCTCAATTGATATTGACACTTCGTAAATTTCCAATTATGAATCAGCATCAACTTCATGGAACTATAATTGAACCTCATTGTTAGATTTTAAAATCCAGCTAATAGATCCAAAGTTTATAACCTCAGGTAACGCAATGTATGAGAGGGGTGATGACGGGGTACAGTAAACGAAATTCTATTTAGTCCGTCAGTTAGATGATCAAAAAATAATGGACACGTATTTTTTCTTTGGGCAATCAACCAAAAAATAACAAAGTTATAGCGCGTCAAAGTTTGGGAGTGGGGGCACGTGACGTCACTTTTGAGTGAAAATTGTACTTGTTTAATTGTAAAACGTGACGTCATGCGAATTTTCAAATCAATATAACTCTGCAATGTTTATATTATGTTAAAAAAGAAAAGATACGTGTCCAATACTTTTGGATAATCTACCTGTTAAACGAAGAAAAAAAAATTAGTCATCATCCCTAAAGCAAACAATGCTTTTGATTATTTTAAAGTTTGACTTGAAGAAATAGTTTAGATCAGCAAAAATGCTAAGGACTATCAAGGCTTAGCATGTCCCGTCATCTCGACTTATTTCATTCGCTCCAGTAATAATCATCCTTGGCGGAAATAATTCGTACATAATTTCGTAGGTCGGACCTCATTCACCACCTCCAGATCTCTCAATCAAACAAATTGCTGCCAATTTAGCAAACACTCCGATCTCACATGTGTTAGCTCGGTATTTCGGCTGGAGGTAGTCAAAATACCGTCCGCAACACAACTGGTGATTTAAATAAACACGAGGGAATGGTTAGACCATAAAGTGGACCATTTTAAGTAAAATATTGTCGGATGGTGCATAGTGCAGATTTATGCTAGGGCACGTGGCCGACGGGGAGTTATGATCGGTGTTCGGGAGCTATGGCGTTTGCCGGGCATGTACCGGTTGGGGATGATGTAGGAGAACGAGATATTATGGACAATTTTTGACTAAAAACCCCCAAAGACATCGCCACAAAGTTTAGGAATTAGTATTGAGTGCCCGCCAGTGGAAGCGATAACATTATTTTTCGTGTGTGTCTGTTGGTGATTTGTGATTGAATATAACACTAGGCGGCAAGTGGACGATAGCTAGAATGAATAAGAAAAATGTTACTAATCTATCATTGCAACTAAGAGTATATTCCATTTACGTTGAAGTTTAGGTAGGGTAATTTGCGCCTATTTTTTATAAGAGGCGCAACTAATTACCCCACTTCACCTGATGTTGGGTATAGGTGGAGTCCAGTCGCTATAGATGATGCAGCAGGTGTGCCACTCCAACCATCCTCCAAACTTGTTAAATACCTATAGGCACTTACTTATACAGAAACTGAACAATTGTTGCAGATTTTATCATAATACAATAATATTTACTCCCCACACAAACACGCACACTCATACTGACACGCACACCTACACACACACACACACACACACACACACACACACACACACACACTCTCATACACACATTATTCGATGCTTACCATACAAACCCTTAGAGTATCATTGTCTAGGTGTAATATTTTCTGTAAATAATGGGGGCCTGGTGACCTGTAACACGGGTCTATGAACCTACACGGGCACCAGTCTCCCACGAATGACGACATGATTATATAATTCGCCTAAGATTTTTGTAAACCTTTTTTGTCATTTGTGGTGAGAAATAAAGTTATTTTATTATTATTATTATACTCTCATTTATTTCATTTCACAGTTAGGTTTTTTATAAAATAGATATTAAAGTAAAATACAAAAATAAATATAAAAAACCTAACCTAAAAGGCCACCAGCAGCGGAGCTAGGCCCAAGCTACCGGTGGTTAGGGCCGCAGAGAAAGAAACCGTCTGACGATGCGCGCTGTGTCCAGGAGTACTGCTTTTTGCATCTGCCCCTTGACCCAACCATCTAGCGAGAGGCTCTTTAGATGTTGGTCGAAACTCTTCGCTATGAGACCGTTCACACTAACGACTATAGGGACAATTATAATTATTATTATTATCCTCACCTAGCCGGCCCAATTCCCTGCTTCGCGAAGCCCTGGAACCCTACAACACAACACCATCAAGAGGTAGTGTTACTTAACTGTGGTCTTCTACAAGATGACAGTTACTTCCCCAAACGGGCGCTGGCTCGATGGCTCAAGTGGTTGTCGCATTCGGCTACGATCGTTGAAGTTAAGCAACTTTCGCAGTGGTCGGTCATTGGATGGGTGACCAAAAATTTACTATCTCGAGCTCCTCCGTGCTTCGGAAGGCACGTTAAGCCTTTGGTCCCGGCTGCATCTGCAGTCGTTAGCACCCGCCAATCCGCACTGGGCCCGCGTGGTGGGTCATGGCCTAATCTCCCTATTCCATCCATAGGGAAGGCCTGTGCCCCAGCAGTGGGGACATTAATAGGCTGATGATGATGATCACCTGATTTAAGCATAACGTTTCTATATCGGCAGTCCAAATCGTCCTGTCCACAAACTTCAGCATAGTTCGGAACTTGGGTCGTTTGTTACCACCAGAGGTATGAGTTTGAAAGCGAAGCGAACGCTTGTGATTTTTACTCGTCTACCGTTATATTGTTTCGGTGTCACAACATCCATTTCTAGAGTTAACATTAGGGTAACTAGGCTTAGTTTAACAAATGGTATCTATCTGTAGAACTAAGGCCATAAATAAGATGCGGATTTGAATTTGTAACAGTACAGATGAGTTGTTTGAAGAGGATTTAGGTAAATTGTTTTAGTCTATTCCATTCTTCTTAACCCGTCACCGCCAGGCAGGACCATCGATTCTGGACTCTACTGCGGACAACTGATGAGATTAAAGCAAGAAGTTGAGAGAAAGCAGTCAGAATTAATCAACAAAAGGGGTGTGATTTTCATCATGATAAAGCTATACCTCACACATCTTTAGCCACTCAGCAAAAAGAGAGTTTGACTGGGAGGTGTTGTTAGTTACGCGTCATCAGATTAAGGTAATCCTGTAAATACGACTTCTTCCGAAGTTTTGACACACATTCACTGCTTGTCATAGCTCTTTTTTTGTCCATTATCTTGGAGCAGTTTTATTTCCTGTATTGTTCTATCGATTCAGCATAATCTTACTCCTTGGACTTTGCAGTTTTAACACAATTCAAATCTTTGGTCTTGACTTGTTATACTTGGCTAACAGACGTTAGCCGGATAGTGGTTACTTGTAACTTGAAGCACGTTGTAAGCGCAGAAAGCCTGTTCCTCGGAGCTGTTAGGCCGTAAGCCATCAGTAATTTATAGGTCTTATTGTAAATTGAGCATTTCATTTACCTTCCCGACTAACTACATTCGCACTCTATCGCCAAAACATCCATCTCACACACCCATATTAAGTTCGCTATTTACTGTTTTTTGGTAATAAAGTATAAGTAAATAACTTTAATAGCCTCTAGGCGCTTCTGATATTGTTGTCTATGCTGACGATCAATTCTCCCGCGGAGCTCTATCGTCGAAGAGTTGCCGTATATATAAGGTCGCGTTTATATACGGCAACTTTAATCACTGAAGGAATACAACAATACAGAATAGGGTATTTGACAAGTTTTAGAAAACGATCTCACGTTATTGACTATGGAGTCCGTAAAAAGTGGATATTCATCATTCTGTTGTGTATTTCAGTAAAAATAACAAAATCAAAAACTCCATTTTCAAGTTGCCGCGAAAACGTTTCTCTATAAATATGGCGTCTTACTAGTGTGTGACGTCACACGACTGTTACTAAAACGTCAAACGATATAATGTAATGTCACTTTAACCGGAAGTTTACTTGCGTGTGATGTCATTTTAGGCTCCGCCAATCCCAAGCGTTTTAGGTCACGTGACAATAGATAAGAAAACTTTTTCGTGGGTTTTTAGTAAAATTATGAATATTTTTTTGTAAAAATAGTAAAAACCCCTGGCAATATTCATTCTGAACACAGATGCTAACTTTATTTTGAATACTGTCAAATTTATACCCTATTGGATTTTTAGACCACACAGCCTCAAAATTGAAATTCAAATAACCTTAAACTTTTTACGGCACTGTGGTAGTGAAAAACGCGTGAATGACAATATTCTTTTTTTGTAATACATACAAATATATACCAAAATACCACGCATTGAGCTCTGTGAATGTGGCTGTCTGATGAGTAAATCCTTTGGGCGGAAGGGATAGAAAAACCTAAAGAGTATTATCAAATTTAGTACAACATTATAAACACCCCTTTGGGTGTGCAATAATGTCTAACGAGTCAATAGACTCCTTAGTCACACATATTATAGAATTTATATTAGAATTACATATTATAGATCCCGTATTATAGAAAGATTCTCAGTGATTGATCTAGTCTTGAGCATAGTTAGAAAGGGATGTCGCTATATATAGCACATAGCGGCATCCCTTTCTAACTGTACTCAAGTAAAGATCAACACTTAGTTGTCATTCTGTAATACGGGCCTAAGAAGCAGATCGCCTTCCCGTAAATGCCTATAAGATCACGGTAATATTATCTATACAGTATTGTGACTCGGCCCTGTCCTTGAAATATTTGCCTACGGGCGAGTGGGGCGTATCCATGCTGTAGGGCTGCCCGCCTACAGTGTTTTAATTTCATCTACGTATTTGAGTTTCTTTCTAGTTCCGTGATTGTAAATATTTTATTTCATATGTAAAAAAATGTTGTGAATGAATTAGGATGTGTTACATACAATACATGTTATTTTAAGTGTAATACTTAATAAAAAAATATAGATTTGAGACAGAAAAATATTTACGCCTCGACTGAGACGTACGAAAAGCTTTATTATTAAATTTAATAGTATAATAAATACGCATTTGTATAAAAAGTTTAATTATTGAAGAGTTCAAGCAACCAAAACTAGCACAATATCGACTATTGCTCTTTGCCATATTAAATTATGTAGGTATCTACTTAATTTAATCAAATATTCACAATACAAACGTTTAAGCACGGCTAACTGCTTAAAAACAATTCACACGGTTCGGTGGTCGCTGCGGCGCATTCGCGACTGGATGCCCACCGGGTGCAGCGCGAACTCGAGTGGCGTAGGTATGACACGCTTTCCGACCCTTTGTATGAAGATAGAATACTGTATAGATAATATTACCGTGCCTAGATATAGCACGGGTGTAGATAAAATAAATTACTCACGTTTCAGGTGGTAAAGCAGACTTGTTGTCCTTGGTTATTGGTCGCGAGTCGAACAATAGCCACTTGATGATGTGAGCTTGAAGCGCTGAGAGTAGTGACCTGGCTCCATTCCTTGGGGCAGCCAAGCCGTAAGCTAGGGGTTGATTCGGGGGTCTCATGACTAATGGAGTGCGCACCCATTCCCCACGCGGTGGACATGCTGAGGTGCCGAAGGAGATTAAGCGGAGCTCCTAAGACAAAAATTTTATTTTATTTATTCGGTATACATAAAATATTACAATCAACAAAGTACTAACTTATTAATAACTGACGAATCGATTGCAAGACTTAACACGAATACACAAAAAATTTCGTTATATAAAACAAACAACAATATATCGATATTAACTATTACATTGCACTAAATTAAATTCATTCAAATAAAAACAAATTAGATAAAATTAATTACAATTGATTATAATATATTAAATTAATGAAATTATATTACATTACAATAAAAACAAAACATTAGCAAATCAATTAAATAAGATATTATCAAGTAAATATTTAATTAAATAAATCAAGCTAAAAAAAACTTATTATATCAAAGCGCTTGGCCTACGATTTCTAGAACACATTTTATAAATTGATTCAGATTTAAACTAAACAAATCCACATCCTTATGCACACCAACTAAAGAAAAGATTACTTTTAGTGTTTAAGCACCATCATCGTTAGCCTATTTATATACCCACTGCTGGGGCAGACGTCTTCCCTATATTTCCTATATTATTATACTAAAAATATAAAGTTCACTATAAAATTCAACTATATACAGGGTGTAAAAAAACCTATGACAAAGACTAAAACTACGCATTCTGTACACCCCAAAAGTAAGATTACAAAATATTATACTTGGGAAACATTTTGTATTTTTAAGTTAAAAAATACATTTTTTTAAGTACGCAATAGTACGTGCGGCGCGCTACTGTGGCGCTACGCAAACAATGTGTGTGCGTGTGTGTAAGTGCGTCAATAAAAAAGTTTTTAAATAACATTTTCGTAAAAAACTTGAAAAAAAAATTGACCTTCAATATCCCCATAACTATCAGTTTCCCAGGTATGATCCAGAAAAAAAAGGTCGTCATGATGTGGAAAATACGTGGCCTTAAACTTCGTTTAAGGTTTTATTTACAGCCTGTATCTATATTCTAAATGATGTAATGGAAGGTGACTTCAGCAGTATCTCTGAAGTAATTTTCACGAGTCTGTATATAATAATACAAGGTCTTCTGCCGTAGTTTTGTGAACCGATGGCGTGGCTTCTTGACTGAAAAAATGATTTTTGAGTTTGAGTATGAATGAAACAGAGAGTCTAGACTAGACCACGCGAGCCCTGTGCAGTGGGTGCTATGACCCACCACGCACGCCATGTGCAGTTCTAACTGCAGATGCAGCTGGGACGGACCCCCCTCCCAAATGACTGAAAATATTTATTTGAGATCAGTCTTTGTTTTGAATAATTTTCTGAATGACGATCTTTAAATTATCTTCATATTCCATTGAAACGTAAGGCATTCCCGCCTAATTGTTATTCATTTGAAATAAAATGATATCTTAAGCTGGTCCAATGTAAGTTTTCCTGGAACCCATGGGCATGAGCATGGATTAGGTGGGTGGAATTGGCGAGCGAGCTTTAATATCGCAAGCCTTAATAGACTACTAGCAGCCATCCGCGAAGTTGTCCGCGTTAAGCCGTTTTTGGGTGATTGAGTAGCAAATACACAAGCTTACAAACTTTCACATTATTAGTAGGAAATAGGATTGTAGCCGTTTACTTAGACGTCACTCCATCGTGCCTGAGGACGTCCTACACTACGTTTGCCTAGACGCGGTCTCCACTCCAGATTTGCGCAAGGTGGCTGGCAGGAGCTGGATGCGAGTAGCCCAAGATCGATCTGAGTGGCGTGCAATTGGAGAGGCTATGTGCCTATGTGCAGCAGTGGCCTAGGATAGGCTGTTGATGATGACGATGATGAACTTAGACGAGCTATTATGTTTATTTGACATCACTTTCACGTAAGAAAGTCCTATTTTGAACAGACTTCAAAAAGATGTAAGCTCTAAATTCGACAGTCTTTTTAAATTTTGGTTTGCGCATATATATCACAGTTTTGTACACCGATTATGATTTTTTGGCGTGATTACGTCTGATAAATCGATGAACACGACATGGCTACAGGCTACATGCACAAAAAAGTATAACGTCAGTCACGTTATGTGACGTCATGTCACGAGTCACATTATATGACGTTATGTCACGTTAGTTCTACGTTTTGAGATATATGTGAGGCGAGGTCGAGGGGTCCCTTCGAAATATCAAGATTCACATGCTAAAAGTATCATGTATGTATGTGATGTCATGGTTTATTTATTAGGTACTCACAACCGCTTCTTCTTCAGTGATCGGTTTCCCGCCGACTACGGCCGGCTTGGCTCCAGTAAGCAGCTTATTTCTTGCATAAAGCACTCGCTCTGCAACCAACAATATACGTAAATATTATATACCTATGTTCATTTATTTTTTACATCTATATCGGGATACCAGGATTAGGGTCAAGGAGACTAGCGGATAGTAGACAGGTTAGCCTTCCATCCATATATTGCATGTATATATATTGCATATTGCACAGTCTCACCCATCGAGGGGAAATGCCCAGGTGCTTCCGGACATTCCCCTGACCGTAAGGAGGAGGAGAAACCCCTGCCTGTAATAAGAGTCTCCGGATCCCACAAAACCCGCTCCGGTAGGCGAGGAAGAACTGCTGAGTTTTAATGGATAGGGCCTTCCTAAGGGCTGGCTGAGCGGATGGGCGATATTTGGGAGAGTCTAACAACCCGGTCTCGCACCCAGAGGCAGGGTATGCGTCAAGCATCTTCCCAATAAAAAAGGATTAGGTTTAACATGGGCCACAGTGTTTGTACCCTAAACAAACACCTATATACGATAGGAGTAACAGACATCCCCCTATGCAGATGATGTATGGAGGCAGAAGAAACGCGACAGCATGTCATCATGGAATGCAGATTGTGGCCGACCAACGGGCACGACTTCTCCAGTCGCCAGCATCGCTTCCGGAAGCTTGCAGTAGTCTGCCAAAGCTGCTTTCCTCCTGGACTGACTTAGACTGGCTGGAGTAAACGGGGATATTTCAAGACAGGCACGCATTAGATCTAAATGCGGAAACCGCCCTGAAAAACTAAACTAAGGGCCACAGGTAATAAAATTAATATCTCTGTATTATACCCGGTCATTTGTCTTCTAATGACAGCTGCTTAACTTGGCGCATATGAAAGTATAATAGAACCACGTCAAGACAGAATTTGGACAAATAAGAAACGGGCAGAGATGTTACTTATGTTTGTGATAAAATAACATAACATGATACCGAGTATATTACTATAGAAATATAGGTGTATATATAAACTGCCATAACTGAGGTGAAAATGTTCGTTTTCGACATGCTATAATTGGCACTTTCTAGATTTCGAACCCAGGAGCCCTAAGTCAGTTGTGTGAACGCCAGTTTTCACACTTTAAAAACTGGCTCACTTACCACGCACCACACCCTTCGTGTATAATAACATTAAAGACACAATTTTCAAAATGATTTAATAACGTTGAAACAAAAAAAATGGTGTGATTTTGTAACACCATGATGCAAATGAAACTTTTGATGAAAAAATTCCTTCCTCGGCTGGGAATTGATCCCGGGTCACCCTCGTGGCCAGCTTTCTACCACTGAGCCACGGATTATACGGCTACGGCTTGTTGATAAGTTCTGAATCTCTGAAAATTAATTTTTTGGATTTACTTAATCGCGGTAGATTTACATTTGGGGGCAAACTTGCACCTAGCTAAGAACTCCCACTTACCTGAGCCATCTATGTTGGCCATGACTTTTGGTCGCGTCCAAATCATCAGTCTTTTCAATAGGAGCTACTGGAGTGTTCATGTAAAATCCCTTCTTAATGTCTGACGCGCTCAATTTTTTATCCTATATTCTTCTAATGGCCATCCCTATATACATATACCATGCAAAACGCGGCAGATCATTTTTTTTTACCGTTCTTAAAAACGTTACTTGAACCCTGTAGTAGCTTCTATTCAAAAGACTGGCGATTTTGACGCGACCAAATGTCATGGCCGTTCGTTCAAATTTTGTTTTTGCTGCCGTTCGGCCTTACATAAGAGTGCTCAGGTATAGTCGAAGTACTGAACTAGGTGCAAAGTTGTCCCACATATGCTAATGTATCGTGCTCGAGTAAATCCAAAAAACCACTTCTCCTCCCATAAAAGTATTACTTTAAGATTTAAGAATGTATTGGCTTTTCCTCCTTGTTAAATCCAACTTTCCAGCTGGGCAATCAACGTGTCATAATCTCCGATCAACAAAAGTTATAATGCGTATTACCGCTCCCTTCCAATGCCGGCATTATCTTCCCCGAAATTCGGTAGTCTCCCTAGTACCGCGGTTTATCTAATATTCATCCTACTGAGGAGATTATAATAGTTCTTGGTAGTCCTGAGCATTTCTATAGGTCATATTGAAACCCTACCCCCAGGGTATGGTGGGTCTGGCATGGAAATTTCGCCGAAACCTCACAAGCTATTATTTCTACTAGACATAAGTTTAGGTGAAGGTCTATTAAAATAATGGACGTTGGATTTCGTTAGTTGGATTATTCGGATAAGTGATTCACATATGAAGATACTTAGCTAGCATAAAGTAGGTACGAAAAATCAATGAAAGACATGTTTGAAATATCATAATTAACAATATAACAATTACGTGGCAGCCGAACTGATCTTGACCACTAACTTCCTGCAACACTGCAGTTGAATTTTTTGGATGCAGAAGGACACGCACTCCCTGATACAGTGGTATCACTAAGGTCTCAAACTAGGTACAATGGTTGCTTACCGTTAGGCGGATCACAATGTTTGTTTGTACCTACTTTGAACAGAAAATAATTCTCCTGAACATCCTTTAGAAATAAAAATAAGGTATATTTTCCAACGTCAGAGCACAGTTTTCGAACACAATCCTTGGTCATTCGTTAGACAGGTACGCCACTCGACGCTGGGTATTGTTGGATCACAATACGGGCAGTATTTGCTTCCAACCAAACTACAGTCGTATGCATTCGAAATAATAGGGAAATGTCCCGCTGAATGCTTCACAGTAGT